GGAGACATAACAACTGACGTCGGCGGCGGGGCGGGGCCGGGGCGGGGCCTCGAGGGCAGCGCCCGCAGGGGCTGGGGGTGGGGACCAGGCGGTGCCGCAGGGCGAGGGGCGGCCAAGGGGGGCGGAGGCGAAGAGGTGCGGAGCCGCTGCCTGGGCTTAGCTTCCAAGCAGCTGCAGAAGTTGCCTCTCCAGTGTCTTTTCCGCTCTCTCCCCTTTTGCCCTGCAGGTATTTAGTTATTGATTTTGTCCGAGGATGGACTTAGGACTTTGTGTATTTTTTTTTTGTAAAATGAGGACAGTTAATTATCTTCTTAAAATCGGTTAAAAGAAAAAATAAAATAAAATAAAGGGACCGGCCGGTTAGCTCCGTTGGTTAGAGCGCGGTGTTTTAACATTCGGATCCCCGTTCTGGCCAGCCGCCAAAAAAAAAAAAAAAAAATCGGTGAAAATAGAAGTGTGTACGTTTCTGCTGAGTCCTGGCGAACTGGGAAAATTTTGGCACAGTTGATTTGAGGTGGTAGAAGGTGAAACCCAGAAAACAAATGTTTTTCTACCTGTGCATGAGAATATGGGTTGCGCACATGTATGTGTGTTGGAGGTTTGGCCAAAAGGGCAGTTAGAACTGGGCCCGGTTGTCGCTGCCTGTTAACGATCTTTTCCCGCCTTTCAGTCTCAGAGGTGTCTTTAAAAGCCAGGTGTGGTAGCCCGGAGTTCCGAGAACAAAGGTCCTTGAGTGTTGTTATGCCCAGGTGCAAAGTTCTGTGTGCGTTAGTTCCTGACCCACCCTGAGTGTGGGCACCACCACCAAGAGGAAATCATATAAGATGGATAACATGGACACGTGTGCAGTGCCTGAGTCTATTTACTTAACCCCAGCCAAGCATACTTTTTATGTAAGTCTCTATGCCAGTCTTGAAAGAGGAAGGAGTTGGATTCATAAACTGAACAAGCCCCCTTGGTCAGGAAGGAAAAAACCCAGGAGTTACAAAAGAAGCATTAACCATTTGGGCAAAACTGTCAACTGTCCTAAACTAGGGGTGAGAGTTGCAGAGAGAAAGGGAGTGTGATTCTCACTCTTTGAGCAAATGAGGAATGGAAAGCAAAGAATGGACCCTGAGAATGTAGACTCGCAATGCTACCCCTTCAAAATAAAGTGAACAAAGGCATTTCAGTGCCAAGCTAGTAGAGGAGGAGTTAGAAGGGGACAGGCCCAGGGGGCAGAGGGAAAGAATCAGAGGAGGCGGTGTAGGAATGTACAGCCAACTCTTGGACTATCCTCTTCTGTCATAACTAGTTTCAATGTGGCTTTGTTTCCATGGCTGGCAGATCAGTGTGGGAGACTGTATTAAACAGTTCATTCTAACAAGCTTGGTACTGAAATTTCAGAATCTTTGGGCATATCACGGTTGGGCAATACTCCTGTCCAAACCTTGACATATAATGTGATGTCCCTTACCTCAAAGGTATGTACTCACTAGTGAGGAGAGACTGACCCAAGCTCAAATAATATGAAAGAGGGATGGGAGGAGGAAGTTATGGTGTGAGCTGAGGATGGAACCAGCCAGGCCAGGCCAAATTGGAAAAGATAGAGTGTAGGAGGGACTGGCAAGAAGGGATTAAAAAATTCTTTTGACATTTCTTGTTTCTTTCAACTGCTGCAGCATCCCAATCCCCTTGCTATGTTCCCTTTATGTCTTAACCCTTAGGAAAGATAAAAGCACTGATGAAAGAACACATGGATCTGCTGGGTATGGGAGTATGGACACTCACATCCTCTATTGGTGGCAGTGTACAATCTTTCAGGAGGGCAATTTACAATGTGAGTTAGAAGCCCCCCTAAAATATATGCTTTTTGGCACAGTAATCAGTTTTGGGGGAACTTATCCTGGGGAAATAATTGAACATGGGCACAAAGGTGGGTGTGCAGAGTTTTGTTGTTACTGCAGAATTAATAATGGAAAGAAAGAAAGAAAAAAAAACCCCAAATATCGGTCAGATGCAGTAATCCAAATGATGAACTATTAGACAGCCACTAAAAGAACGTAGACATATGGTTATGGACAAGGAACCATATCCAAAATACAGTGTTTGGTGAAAAAAGCAGATCACTGAGAAGTTTGCAGGATATGATCCTATTTTTGTATTTGTATTAGGAAAAGGCAGAGATTTACACAGTAAAATGTTAACTGTATTCATCTCTAAGTGATGGGATTTAGATTACTTAAATTTTTTTCTTTTGTGCTTTATTTTTATTTTAATATTTTGCTGAAATAATCATACATTATTATTGTAATCTTGAAATGTGTTTAAGAAAATAAAACAACCACTAGGACTGCTTCTCTGGTCTGGAGGTTTAGCAGCAACGATTAATCCTCTGGGACTCCAAGGGTGATGGGGGTTGGAGGTGTGTACTGTCCTCCCATGAGGGTGATTTCAATTTCCACTAAGTCTAGCTGAGCAGACTAATTAGAATTTTTGTTCAAAGACCGGGCTGACAAAAGGATGTTTGAATTATTCATTGTTTTCTGTAATCTGTTTTTCTAATAGCTAGGCTATTAATCTGGGTTCTTGGTTTTACATCTCAGATTCTATTCATTTGGCTTAAATGCCTTATCATTTGTAGCAAGAACATGGGAACCATAATTAGAAGGCCTGATCCTGTGTGAACTCCTGTCTATTAGCTGTGTCACCTTGTTAGGCAGTTACAAAACCTCACTGAACCTCATTTTTATCATCTGTAAAATGGGATAGGATGTTTACCCTATGAAGCTGTCGTAAGGATTATATGAAATAGTGAATGTAAAAAGTGCTTTGAAACAGACCTATTGATTGTATTTTTTAAAATGAAGAAATAATTTTAGGGAAAAAGAAAAAGTCTCTGGCTGAGCTTGATGAAACAGGGTTATTTTATTTAGGGTCCAAAAATCCCTCACTTTTTATTTTACACATACATGTATAAATATAAGTATGTGTAACAATTTAAAGCTTCATCCAAACTGGGACAATTTTGAAAGTGAAAGTGGCAGTGGTAATAAAATTATGCTGGACTAAGAAGGATAGACTGGGACTGTACCAGACAAACCCTACTTGTAAAAAACATATCCCCTGCTTATCTCTGATTTCTGTTCCTCAGAGGCAACTGCCTGCAATGCTTTTAGCATTTTTCATCTTTACTTCTGTATTTCTAAAGAATAGGTTTCTACTGCTTTTCTTGATTTTTCCATTTTAGACATTATCTATTGATTTCTTACTATGGAGGATAAGGAATATCTCTTTTACACCCTCCATTCACATACCATTTTCCTCCCCTCATTCTAAACATGATTATATTATATATTCATTTTTATATTAATATGCCCATATAAATCTTGTTCATGGCTGAACCACATCCTTTATATTTCCCTTCTTGTGCAATTGTTCATTTCCTCTGGAGTTAATAATTAACCCAAATTTTGGTTTGGACTATTTTCTATCGCCCTGTCCACTTATTCATCCCCAGCCAGTGTCTGAAAAATAAAACTACTCAATCAGCCAATCTATCGGCTCCATATTTTATTGGAAATAAACCTTGTCCTCGGTCCTCTTGCTCCAGGCTAGCCCATCCACAGCTGTCATCCCAGGACTTCCCTTTCTTCTCTTCCATGTTGGATTTTCTGTTGTTTTTTGTTGTTGTTTTTATCCTATGGTTGCCCTTTGTTCTTTCACTTCTTTATTTGCGAGGAACGCATCCCATTCTACAGTTGCTTATGAAGAAAATGAGCATGGAGGTAAACTTTGGAAACTTTACACATCTAAAAACTTCTTTATTCTCCCTCAATTTTTTTTTCTTTAAACTTAGAGAAGACTGGCAAGAATATTACAAAAACCTCCTTCATACCCTTATCAATTCACCAATTGTTAACATTTTGCCATTTGTGCTGCATCATGTTTAGATCATATAGTCATACCTTTTTCTTGAACCATATGAGAGTTAGTTGCAGTTATCCCCCTGTTTGAAAGATAGTTTGGCCAAGTATAGAATTCTAAATTGGAAATAATGTCCCCTCAGAAGTTTGAGAGCATTGATCCGTTATCTTTCGGCTTCTGTGGTTGCTGTTGGAAGGCTGGCGTCATTCTGATTCCTGCCTTCTAAAAAATGACTTGTTTGTTCTATCTGCAAGCTTTTCGAATCCTCCTTTCATCCTTAGTATTCTGAACATTTACAATGTACCTTAGTGCAAGGCAAGTTTCCTTCCCTTCATTGTGTTGAGTGCCTTTCAAAATGGCAACTCATGACCTTCAGTTCTGGGAAATTCTTTGATAATTTCCTCAGTACATTTTCTCACGTTTCTGGAATCCTATTAGTGAGATGTGGGAACTCCTAAATTGATATTATAATTTTATTGTCTTTTTTTCTCCAGTTTTCCTCCCTTTGCCATTCATTCTGCTTTCTGGGAGATGTCTTCAACTTTCTCTTCCACCCCTTTTATTAAATTTTTAATTTTGTCTATCCCACTTTTAATTTCCAAAGGTTCTTTCTTGTCACCAGGATGTGCCTTTTCTATAGCATTTTATTCTTTTTGTTTTATGTATGCAATATATTCTCATATCTCTTTGAAGATATTAATTATTGTAGTTTTCCCCCTAAGGTTTTATTTTGCCTTTTGCCTCTTCTGTCTGGGTTCATTTTCCTATTTGTTTATTTTGACTCCCTCTAATTGCTTGGTAATTCTCGACTCTCTCTTTGTTCATAGGTTCATAAATGTGAGGCACCGGAAAGCTCATTGGCACGGAAGTTCTCTGAGAGTGAGTGGGGCTCATTGTTGGGTGAAGGGGCAGAGCTCACCCATTTCATTGGGAGGATCTATAAGTCCTGTCTCCAACTCGTTTGCTTTCTCGAGAGAGGACTCCTGCCTACAAAGTTCAAGTTTGGTTGCCAGCATTCTGGGATTGAGTGGGAGAAAGTGCTGGGGATATCAAGTCTTAGCCATTAGGCTTGTGATAAATACCACGGTTTTCAGTAGGGTGTCTCATCTCCCTCTTTTAGTTAGCTATGAGATATGCCTGGTATTTTCAAGTCCAGAGCCCATCTGTTCCCTTCCGAGGATAAACTGCATCATCTTCTGGGGAAGAGGAGAGGCAAGTACCTGGCTGCATAGGGCCCAAATGTACCTTAGGAGATTTTAAGCAAATCCTCTAGATTTCTGTCCCATCCTCCACTCTGGTCTTCCAAAGTGGTATACTTCCAATTTCTGAACTTTTCCTGGGTTCTGTGGCACCAGCTAATTAGTGTGGCAGAGGTAGTGCCATGGGCCCACCACGCCATTGCCTCTTCCCAGGAGTCTAGACAGACCATAGCTTTTGACCTTTCTTGTAATTAGCTTGGATAAATGACTGAATTGTGGCCAGCAGGAGGTGAGTGGGAGTGAGGCCTGGCCCTCAGAAACAGCCGCTCTCTCCCAATTAGGTGGTCAGGGAGGGGTGTGGACACAGAGAACAGTCCTGAGACCTTTGCAGGGTAGCAGGCCCTAAAAACTAGGGGATGAAAGAGTCGGGTCCCGGGGCCCCATGGATTTGTTCTCATCTTCAGCTGTTTTTGTTTTGTTTTGTTTTTATAGAGCTCTCTGCATCCAAGACATGATCAATTCCAGAGAGTCAGAGGAGCGAGGATGGGGCTCTCAGGAACCTGAGAATGGTAGGCGGGGATCACAGGAAAAAGAATCCAACACCTGCTACTTTGCTTTCTGAGGGGGCAAGGAGAGTAGCAGATAAAGACAAAGGAAAGAACCCCATTTTATTCACTTTATTCTCACCCCCATCATCAAGAACACATTTTAGTAAAAAAAAAAAAAAAAAAGGCTAGAAATCGGAGTCCTGTGTAGATGGGCTGGGTATGTATCATCTTATGTGTGGCTGATATACGCAGCTAAGCAGAGATTTGATGCAGGTAAGGGAGTGATTTTAAATCTGTTCCCTGCATATAAACATATTTGATATTTCCCATTTCTGGGACATAAATGTTAATTTCATTGTAACTAACAATAGAAAGGATGATAAAAGTAGCCCTTGACTTCAAGAAGCTCACCTTTTAGCAGTTAACCCTGGGAGCTCTTTGCCAGTTACTGCACTGTTATGAGTGATGCCAGGAGGTGCATACATAGCACCCTGTGAAGCCTATGATCCCCCTGGATTCTCCCCTCTCTGCCCATAGCTCCTTTTCTTCCCACACTTCTCACTGCTGCACAAGCCCACTTCCCGGATAATCTCCTAAACAATTTAAAGTTAATTGAAAATTTGTATAATCAATTTCTTTATAACCAGACTGATTTACATTTTGAAAGCTTACTATTGGACAGCATATAATTATATAATTTATAGTTGATTTGAATATAACACTTATGGGCATTAAAAAAGGAGTTGAGATTAAGATTGAGCCCTTAGGCACATAGCTGCCTCCTACATTGTTGCTGTGAGAAAATCTGACTTGCCCCGAATGCCTTCTCCAGGCACATGCCCTGCTGTGATTGTGAGCACTGTCTGTCCTGTTCTTCCTGTGTACAGATGACCCTGTTGACTGACTACCGCCACAGATTGGGACCAAGTTGCTTTTCCCAGTGCATTAAGGCCATTATCTGTAGGAATAAGCAATGCCTCAATTCAGTATTCGGAGACCTATTTGGCACTCAAGCCGATATCTTCGAGGATGACTGTCTTTTCCCAGCGAGATACCTGCAGAAAATGGCTTTCGATAAAGCTGAAAGGAACGCACCCCAGGGCAACTCTCTTTGTATGTTGCTGTCCACATAATAAACAGCCCTTCTCCCCAAGCCAGCCCACCAGCCAGTTTTTTGTGTAGATTCTTGAAGATAAGGCTGCTGAAAGGAGGAACACACAGCGTGAAACAGAAGGTTACAGAACTTCAGTTATGGGAGGCACACCGTTTATCTCAAATTATTAAGTTCTTGTTTCCCTCCCCAGTTCTTTAAATCACCCCTTCCCATGCACAGCCAAGAAATTATATCAGCCAGCCCGTGGCTCACTTGGGAGAGAGTGATGCTGACAACACCAAGTCAAGGGTGAAGATCCCCTTACTGGTCATCTAAAAAAAAAAAAGAAAGAAAGAAATTACATCAGTGGTTGGCAGCTTCCTCTGCAGGTAAGTCACCTGGACTGTCTTCTTCCAGCAGCAGGAACAGCAAGGAGTAGAACTCCCCGAATAAACACTTTGAGGCAAAGGTAAATAAGGGTGGAATGAGCAAATAGGAAGTCACCTTTCCTCTGGAGTAAACTGTTCCCTCCTCTGATTGCCTGAAGCTACAACGACACATCATCTGACCACAGGACAGCAGGACTGGCTACATTATTTTTCCTCCCAGAAAAAATGATAATGCAGGCCCTTGTTCAGACAGCTGGAAAAAAGTGCCGTTAAGGTACTAAAACATAAAGTTTTCTTTTCTTTTGCGGTGTCTCTTGTCCTGTCATGGTATTTTGCTATTTAATGTAGCTCTCCCCTAGTCCAGGGATACTAGCAGGGCGAGTGAAGGGTTCTTCCTCCAGCCTCAGGCCAACTCTAGGCTGTGTGGTGCCTGCCAACCCACAGCAGATGGTTGGCCCAGAAGGGGTTGCAACCTTACAGCCAGGACAAGCTCAATACCTTGATTGGGGGTGGGCCAGAAGCTGCCCGGGGCAAGTCGCTGCCAAACAGTTGGGTGCTGCCAGATCCTGCCGGAAAGTGCCCTGGGGTGCATGTGCCTAGCCCCAAATCTGTCCGAGCTTGAACCCAGGTCCCCACTGGGACGGAGGGTGACAGCAGACCATGGACCTCCCCCCACCCACACCACAGCCCCAACCCAGTTGCCACCCTGGGTGGGATTGGGGGGGCAGGGGTCACAGTCGGGAGAGCAGACATGGAGGGTGGGAGGCTGTACAGAACCCCAGGCACCAGGCAATGGAGAACAGGATACCAAGGACCCATCCCAGGGAGGTGGGAGCTGGCAGCAGACAGAACCTGGTGTGAGCTGATGGCACATGCCCCAATGTCCATCACACCTCCCTCATAAAAGACAAATTCAAAGATAAATTTATTAAGAATGTCAAGGTGGCAGCCGCAGCTGACTAAAATCCAAGTGCACAAGGCCCTTCTGCACATGGCCCTTCTGTGCAACTGCACTGTCGTGAAGCCAGTCCTCTGGAATGGAATTACTGAAATCCCTTGCCCAGAATTGAAATCCATTGCCAGAATGAATTGCCCAGAAAATTCATTATGTGTGCATTTGTATGTGTGTTTTTATCACATTTGTGGCATTTCTCATACACTGCCCTGTACGTAGTTTAATATCTGTGCTACGCTCTGCCCTTCCTGCATGCCATCTATGAGGCCCAGCTTCTGTTCTCACTGACTAGTCTGGCACATGATAGCCTCTCTCTAAGCCTGATCTGTAAAATAGAAATAGTAACAATGATCTCTTAAGAGTGTTGTATTCGTCCGTTTCTGTTGCTTATAACAAAATACCTGACACTGGGTAATTTATAAAGAAACAAAATTTATTTCTTAGTTTCAGATGCTGGGAAGTCCATGGACCAAGGGGGCACGTCTGGTGAGGGCCTTCTTCTTGGTAGAGACTCTCCACAGTAACAGAGATGAGAAAATGGCATGAGCACGGAGAGCTAACCTTCTCACTTGCTGTCCCTATAAATCCATCAGAACCATGCCTATTTACTCCATGGCTGGATCAGTCCATTCAAGAGGGCACAGTCCTCACAGTCTAATCACCTCTTAAAGGTCCCACCTTTCAAATACCATCATTGGATGTCCCACCCCCTTAGCACTGTTACAATAAGGGGTCAAGTTTCAACAAGTTTTGGGGGGATGTTCAATCTACAGCAAGTGTTGTAAGGACTAAATGAAGTAAAGCTTAGAAAGCACTGAGCCCAATGCCTGGCACATGTTTCATGCAAACGAACGTGTGTTTATATATATAATCTCCACATACCCTGATACCCAGTGCATCCCTTCTGTGACACATAGGGGCAGTACCACTGTAAATAGGAGGTACTTAATAAGTATTTTGTAGACATAAGAACAATTAGTATAAACATGTTTTTAAGTGTCAATCTGGCTAATGGATGTTTTAGATGAAATGTAATGCAAATATCACACTATTATTTAAAGAGAATCTAGAGGGCCGGCCCAGCGGCGCACTGCTACAGTGCGCCGCTTGGGAGCGCGGCGGCGCTCCCGCCGAGGGTTCGGATCCCACATACAGACCGGCAGCTCACTGGCTGAGCGAGGTGCGGGCGCAACACCGAGTGTTGCGATCCCGTTGCCGGTCCTGGTCCGGTACGGGCGCGACACTGAGGGTTGCGATCCGTTGCCGGTCACGAAAAAAGACAAAAAGGAAAAAAAGAAAAAAGAGAGAATCTAGAAAAGCCTTTTGCAAAAATTCAAACCCATTATGGTAGACTAAATCAGAAAGTAAGCTTAATTAAATTAAGTATCTGATGAAAATGAAGAAAGTCCTGAAAAGCCTGATAAATTTCAGAATGAAAATTAGGTCTTTTAAGCAAAGATAAAAAAAAATAATTGGAATCGGTTGGGCCGAGCCCGTGGCGACCTCGGGAGAGTGTGGCACTGGGAGTGCAGCAGCGCTCCCGCCGCGGGTTCGGATCCTATATAGGGATGGCCGGTGCAATGCGCTCACTGGCTGAGTGCAGTGCGGCCGGTCACAAAAAGGACAAAAAAAAAAAAAAAATTGGAATTGGTTAACATGGAGAAGAGAAGGGTAAAGAGAGAACTTTAAAATAGCAATATTGCTCTCAATTAAAAGGGGGGATTAAAGTATATATTTTGTTACTAAAGTAATATGTGTTTATTGTAGAAAACGTAGAAAATACATATAAGCAGAAAGAAGAAAATTTAAAATATGCACAATCCTACTACTGTCTCATAAAAAACAAGTAAATACCAATTGATTATCAAGCTGCAAATATAGGTTAATAGCAGCATTAATACTGGGCATTTTCATTTTTTTTTTTTTTTTAAAGATGACCGGTAAGGGGATCCTAACCCTTGACTTGGTGTTGTCAGCACCACGCTCACCCAGTGAGTGAACCGGCCATCCCTATATGGGATCCGAACCCGTGGCCCTGGTGCTATCAGCACCGCACTCTCCCGAGTGAGCCACAGGCTGGCCCGGCATTTTCATTTTTAATTTGCCAATTTTATGACTGAAACGGTATCTCTGCTATTTTGATTTAAATTACTTCTTAGAATAATAAATTACTTCTTTCCTCATATGTTTATTGTTTATATATATTTTTCTTTTGTGAATTGCCTGTGTTCTCTTAGACCATTTTTTATTAGGATGTTTGTTTTTCTTTTTAAAAATTAGAAATATTTAAAAGTACATATAAAAAAGTATAGAAAAAGCAGCAGATAGTATTTCTATGTGTGTTTCAGAAAGAAGGCCTGCTAGGGGTGCAGTAGGGATTATATTAACAACACTCTTCCATGTTGCTAGAAAAAGAGGCCTTTTTCCTTTTTTCATGTTTGCCTTTTTCCCATACTCATGTGCAAGACTTTCTGTACCTTAAGAATGCTAACCCATTCATATGCTATAGAGCTTTTGCTTCAATATTTCTGACCAATTAATCAAAGTAAATGCTAAGAAAGAACAAAAAGAAATTAGTTTAAATTAAAAAGAAAATTTACTTGGACACTAAGAATAATTTCTTGACCATAAAGAGAATCAATCTAGGAAAAGGAATTTATCATTGCAAGGTCCATCTCTGATCCACACCACCTCTCTTCTATGGTTGCTCATACTTTCTTCCTAGTTTATTTTCTTTTTAAATTTATTTTGTTAGATTCAAATAAGCACTAATTTCTAAAATTAGTAGGGAAAGATTTGGATTACTTCATTAATCTGATTTAACTTGTGTTCCTCCCCATCACAAGAAAAACAGCCAAATCTTTGCAGGACTTTTAAGTAAGGGCTGCTAAGTCTACTGTTGTTTGGCAGTTCTATAAATGAATGTAAATTCTATTATGTAACAAATGGGACATGTGTTCTATGTATTAAAAAAACAGCCTGTTTGCTGCTTAGTATGGTAGTCATTAGGAGGATACACAAATATTCAACTCTTTCCTTCCAGATATGTAATAAGAATGTACTTTCCTGCCCCTTTGAAATTAGGTGTGGACATGTGACTTTCACTGGCCAATGAAACATGAGAGGAAGTGACATTTTCACTTTGGGGCTGAAGTTAAAAAATTTTTTTTATATATAAACGTGCAATTTATTGTATGTCAATTATATGTCAATAAAAATATATATGTACATGTACATATGTACTAAAAATTACATATATGAGGGAACTTCAAAAAGTTCATGGAAAAATAAAATTAAAACATAAAAATAGAAAATATACTTTTTTTTCAACATAAGCCCCATCAAGTTCAAGACACTTTGTAAACAAAGATACCAGACATTTAGTCTTTCTGCTAAAGAACTGAGAGTCCTGAGAATCTAACTATGTCAATGCAGTCTTTTTTACATTATTAACTGAAGAAAAATGGTGCCCTTGAAAGATCTTTTAAGATTAGGAAACAAAAAGAAGAAGCAGGACTTTAAGGTAGATGCCTAATGATTTCCCATGAAAACTCTCAAAATTGCCCTTGTTTGATGAGAGTATTAGGCAGGACCATTGTTACGATGGAGAAGGACTGTCTGGTGAAGCTTTCCTGGGTCTTTTTCTGCTAAAGCATTGGCTGGCTTTCTGAAAACATTCTCATTATCAGCAGATGTTATTGTTCTTTGGCCCTCCAGGGAAACACAAGCAAAATAACTTGAACATCCCCCAAAATTGTTGCCATGACCTTTGCTCTTGACTGGCCTGCTTTTTCTTTGACTGGACTACTTCCACCTCTTGGTAGCCATGGCTTTGATTGTGCTTTGTCTTTAGGATCGTATTGGTAAAGCCATGTTTCATCTCCTGTAACAATTCTTCAAAGAAAGGCTTCAGGACCTCGATCTCACTTATTTAAAATATCCATTGAAAGCTCTGCTCTTGTCTGCAGCTGATCTGGGCACAACAGTTTTGGCATTCATTGAAAGTTTGCTCAACTGTAATTTTTCAGTCAGAATTGTGTAAGCTAAACCAATTCAGATGTCTGTGGTGTTGGCTATTGTTTCTGTTGATAATCTTCAGTCCTCTTTAATTAGGACACGGATAAGATTAATTTTTTCCTCACAAACTGATGTGGATGGTCTGCCACTGTGGGTTCATCTTCAACATCATCTTGTCCCTTCTTAAAATGAGTTATCCATTTCTAAATTGCTGATTTCCTTGGGGCATTGTCCCCATAAACTTTTTGTAAAGCATCAGTGATTTCACCTTTCTTACACCAAAGCTTCACCATAAATTTGATGTTTGTTCTTGCTTCAATTTTAGCAGAATT